CCCACCCCAGGCATCATCCTCCCACCCGCCCCAGTCCCTCCAGTGCTCTGGGGCAGTTCCTGGCCTGGCTGGGGCGGGAGCCCAGGTTCTGGCCGCCTGATGCCGTCCTAGGTAATCAGGGCTGACCCACCAGCCCTCTCTGGCCCCAGCTCTCCCCGGGGCCAGGGCCTAGGGGGCTCCGCCAGCAGCGACTCACACCCACGCTGGCCCTTGTCTCCCAGAGGTGCTTCAAGCCTGGACCGGCTTCTACACCTCCCGCCCCAAGCTCAAGGCGCTGGCGAGGCAGGCCAGCTCGCTGCTGCACGCCGCGGAGTCCATGTTCACACGCTACATGTGGCCTGCCCCCCGTGCGCACCTGGACCCCAGCTGGGCCCTGAAGCAGCTCCAGCAGCTCCGCTGGGCAGTCTCCGAGGTAATGTCTCACCTCTCAGTGAAGCCTCCCGTGCAGTGGCCTTCCCCATCTAGCCCCCGGTCACTGGCTGTCCACATCACAGATGAGAACACTGAGGGCACCTCTGGTGACGAGGCTGGGACCAGCATCTCACAGCATGGGCCGGTGGCTTCAGTGGGCTTTAGAGCCGAATTTACCCAGAGGGTAAAGAGCAAAGTGGAGCAGTGTTGTGTCCGGGGGTCCTGTCTGGATTCATTCTCAGCTCTGCTGTGTGGTCTCAGGCAGGGGACATTCCCTCTCTGAGCTCTAACTCCCTCCCTGTAAAATGAGAACCACTTGCCCACCCGGGTGGGGCAATTGAACGCGATAACCTGCCTAACCCGCTTGGCAGGGCGGCGGCCACACAGCAGGTTGTCCACACAGCAGGTTGTCACCCCTGCCTCAGGGCAGGGGACTGTGATCGTGCCTAGAGCGTCCCGGTGGCAGTGATGGGAACACAATATCACGAACACGAAGCCAGGAGGGGTCCCTTCCCAGAGCCTGCCGTCTGCCCCAGGTGGTGGGTTTCCGCAAGGTCAGAAAAGGCGGGGCAGGCTCCCCGGCCTCCCTGAGCCTCAGTTTCCTCTTCTGAAAAGTGGGAGAGACCCCTGCCCCTCCCACACCTGCTGAGAGGAAGGGTGGCCAGGGCCTCGGTGCCAGGTGCCTAGTAGGTGCTTTGCAGGGGCAGGTCCAGACCCTGTTGTTCCCTTATCTGCTGGGACTGCAGGTCCAGCACCATGATGGCATCACTGGGACCCAGGCCACCAAGGTGCAGGACATGTTCGTGGAGCACCTGAGGTCAGGGATGCAGGATGTCCTCCAGCTGATGGTGTCCATCATCTTGAATGGGACCCACGTCCAAAAGGGTAAGTGAGGCCCCGCAGGCAGGGTGGGGTTGGAGGCTGGCAGGGGCTCTGGGCCTTGCTTTTTTAAAATAAATCTTTACTGATTTCAGAGAGAGGAAGGGAGAGAGAGAGAAACATCAGTGATGAGAGAGTCGTGGATCGGGTGCCTCCTGCGCGGCCCCGACTGGGGATGGAGCCCGCAACCCGGGCCTGTGCCCCGACCGGGAATTGAACCGGAACCTCTCAACTGGATCCTAGGTCGGCGCTGAGCCGCTGAGCCGCCCCGGCCAGTCCTTGATTTTTTGTTGTTAATTCTCACCAGAGGCTATTTTTTCCGTTGATTTTTAGATAGAGTGGAGGGGGGGAGAGAGAAACATCGGTGTGAGAGAGACACACCCACCGGTTGCCTCCCCCATGTGCCCCGACCAGGGTCGGAGAGCAAGCCCCCAACCCAGGCACGTGCCCTTTGACCAGGAATCAAACCCAAGACCCTTTGGTGACAGGCCGACACTCTCAGCACCGAGCCACGCAGGCCAAGGCAGCTGTGGCCCTTTCGGAGAAGAGAGCCCAGGGGGACCGGGCAGGGGGCCTGGACGACCCGCATGTCGGACTCAGGGGCCACAGCCCTCGTGTGCCCTGATCTGGGGCAGGTGCCTTTACTTCCCCAAACCTCCGTTTTGTCTCCCTGCACGCGGGAGGGTTGGGCGTCGGCCGGGCCCTCCCTGCGGTAGTTCATGTCCCGCCTCACGCACTCCCTGTGAGCTTGGAGCTGCTGCCGCCCTGTGATCTAGCCGAGGACACAGGCAGACGGAGGCTGTGGGCTTGCCTGGGCCACGCGGGCAGGGGGACCGAACCCTCCGCCCTCTGCTGCCTGCCCTGAGAGGACCCAGGGGTCCTCGGGAGCCTGGCCCCAGAGCCCAGTTCGGGCACAGTCGTCCCAGCGCAGACCTGTGGCTGCATCTTTTTTAAGCTTTTCCCCCTCATCAGAAAAACGTTATCTTCTATTTATGTTTTTTGTTAACCCTTACTCAAGGATATTTTCCCCCATTGATTGGAGAGAGTGGAAAGGAGGGAGGGGGAGAGAGAGAGAGAGAAACACTGATGTGAAAAAGATGGGGTGTAGGGGGAGGCCGGGGATCACACCTGCAACCCAGGTATGTGGCCTTGACCACGAATCTAACTTCAGCTCTTCAGTGAGTGGGCTGATGCTCCAACCGCTGAGCCACGCCGGCCAGGGTGTCCCGTGTCTTTGGCTGTGAGGTTTCACATGTATGCAGTGACGGTCACACCAGCCTGAGAGGTCTGAGGGGGTTTCAAACCCAGAAAGACTCGCTGTGCACGAGGCCTGCTGCCCTGCCCCAGGCCCCTGCACCCCGTCACCGGGCACTGCTCAGCTCCTCCTGCTCGCTGCTCACCTGGCCTGCTCTCCCCTCTCTGTGTGGGAACCCCATCCCTCCTTCAGACTCTGGGTGGCCCATGGGGACGGGGCGGCACACAGGGCGCCTGCAGTCAGTGGGAGAGACAGTTGTGGAAGGAGCTAGAAGCAGGGGAGTGACCGCTCTGCCTGGTGGGACAGCCCCTGCCCATGAGCTTACACGGGCGGTGCCCCAGCCGGGAAGAGGCGGGGAGGACCAGGGAAGGCGGCGCAGCCAGGGAGCAGCCCGAGCGGAGGCAGGCACTGGGGCAGGGATCGCCAGGTGGGTCAGGTCTCACCGCACACGTGGCGCAGGATGGAACAGAAAGGGACTCCAGGTCCACACCGCAGGGGTCTCGAATGCTGGGCTGGGCCATTGGGCTTGACTTCCAGGCTCCAGAGAATTCTGGGGTCACTCACAGTGCCAGGCACTCAAAGCTATGGAGCTGCTAGGCCCCAGGAGCTGGGTCGCCTTCGGCCTCAGTTTCCTTATCAGTAGGGTGGGCTGACAGGGCAGGTGAGTGAGGAGCACATGGGATACTAGGGACAGGGACGTGGAACCGAGCAGAGTGGAGCACCCTGCAGGGATCTGCCGCCTGTCCCTGGTCCCTCTGCTCAGATTCCCTGGGAGCTCTGCCGGGCTGGCTTTGGTGCACTGAGGGGCACCCAGGTAAGGACTGTTCTCCGTTGCAGGCCCAAGGCCCAAGGGACACTTCTTTGCCGTGGTCTACAACCCCCTGGCCTGGACGGTCACCACGTTCATCAACCTGACTGTGGGCTCTCCTAAGGTCATGGTCACAGATAAGACAGGCCACCCCGTTGACATACAGGTATGGGCGTGATTTCTGAGACGCACTTGCCGTTTCTAGCACCTGCTGGGGCCAGGCACTCCCAGGAAGGGATAGCCCACTAATCCATCCTCACTGAGGACATCAACATGGGGGCGTGCCCACTGAGGGTCAGTGGGATCCACCCATGGGACCGGAACTGGGCTCTGGGCGTCTGACATGGCCACGGGTCCCCTGGTGCTGTCCCCTCCCTGGAGGGTCTTGGGCATGGCCTGCACTGTGTGGAAGGCTGCTCTCCCCCTCCCCTGGGGAGTATATTCTAATGTAAATTTCCAGTTCTCAAGGGAAAGGCCCTCAGGTGTCTTGAAGGGGGTGCTTTATGGAGGCGCTGATACTGGGGGCTGAGGCCCATGCGGCCTCTCTCCCCAGCACCCAGACACCAGGGTGAGTGTCCCGTCCATCATTATCTCCTTCACCGCCTGGAGCTGGACCTGGTGACCCAGGGCACCCTACCTGCCATCTGGCAACCCTTCCCTGGGAGGTGCCATCAGTCAGTCATTCAGCAAACACTCCCCTGTGCCTCTTCTGGGCCTGGCTCTGGGCTAAGTTCTGGGTCTCTGTGGAGAGGGGGAGCGGACACAGAGATGGACAGTTAAGGTGTGGAGCGGTGACCCTGAGGCTGAGATAGAGGAGGAGGAGTTCATCGGAGCAGGGGGTGCTGGGGGAGGGTGTCGGTCTGTGGAGACCCAGCATGTAACACCCCCTTCCAGTCAAATGCAACACCACCTAGAGTAAACCCCTTAACAGATATTCTGGAGCACCTGCTACGTGTCAGGGCTTGGTCTGGGCACTGGGATACTATACAAACCAAAGTCCCTGCCCTCTAGGGCCTGTATTCTAGCTGGAGAAACAGGAAGTAAAAAAATGAGAAAATACAGACTGTGACAGTGATGACAGCTATGGTGGAGGAAAATCCCCAGAGCAGGATGCGGGGGGCGAGATGTCTGCGGCATTTCAGATAAAGGCTGGGTGGGAGGGTGTGTGCGGCAATCCTGGGTGTGCTAATGGGTCCCCCAAAGGGCCTCCCACAGGGGCTAGGGGCTGCACATTTGCCCTAGAGAGTGAGGGGGATTGCTGAGTATGCCCCGTGCCTTCTTCAAATCCCCTCTGCAAATCAGAGAAGGGGGAAAGAAAAAGCTGGGAGGGTTACTCTGAAAGTATCCGTCCACATGAAATTGGAGGATTGGGGGATAAGTTTGGCTCCTCCCAAAAGAAGACCCTCCAGGTAGAGGAGGCAGCATGAGCAATGCCTCGGAGGCAGGAAACAGCAAGAGCGTTGGGAAGGAAGGGCAGCTGGTGGGCTGGTGCCAAGAGGGAGGGAGGCGGGGAGGGAGATGAGGCCAGGGCTGGATCTTTTTGAGCAGGGTGGATGCAGGGAGGGGAACTCAGATCAGTTCCATGATGGAAAGACCCTGCTGCCTCATGGGAAGTGAGCGCCCTGCCCAGGAGGAGTGCAAGTTGAGGGTTATTGAGGAGACAGGTGTCTTCCAACCCTGAAATCCCCTGTTTTATCTCGCACCTTTGGCCCTGCAGATCCAGAAATCGAAGGAGATGCCACCTAAATATGACCTGTATGTACTGACCACAATCCCGGGCCTCAGTTACCAGCACTATAGTATCAGGCCCATCAAGGAGGCCGAGGAAGACAATAAAATAACAGATTCCACTAAGACTTTCACCTCCAAGTTTGACCTCAGTCTAAGGAGACAGACTGGGCCCAGGAGCAAGCGCCTGGTGCTTGTGAAGAATGCGTGCTACACTGTCTTCCTAGACCAGGTCACGAACCTGATGCATAGCATCTGGGAGAGGTGAGGTGCAGCCATTGCTGTCTCTGAGGTGGAGGCATTCCCTGAAGCCTGGGTTGTCATTTGCCCACACGGTTCTTTATTTCCTCACTTGCCTGGGGGAAGGACCTGATGGTGGCAAAGGCCCTTCTGTATTTTACCATTTTTATTTTTTAGGAGTATGAGTTTTGGCCAGTGCAAGAAAGACTGTCTTGAACTTTTTCATTCCAGAGCTGTGGATTCTGAGGAAAAAGGGATGTTGAGGGAACCCCACCCCAGGGAATAAATACAATATTCGTATTACCCACTTTAAAAAATTTAGTGAAACATAAAATTCATTAGTCTACTCACTCACCCACCAAACTACCCATCTCTCTATCCATCCATTCATTCATCCACCCCACTCTCCAACCTGTCATCTACCCACCCACTCACCCATCTACTCACCCATCCATGCCTCCATTCTACCATAAACCCCTACCCATTTACCCACATACCTGTCCCATCCATCCATCCACCCACCCACCCATCCATCCATCCAGTCACTCATTCAGGAGCTACTTTTTCACAGCAGAGAGGGCAGCTGACTCCCAGGAAGGTCTCCCCGGTGGTTTGGGGACAACCCTGTCTATCCTCAGGCCACGCCCTAGGCAGTTTTGTTCTAGTCCAGCTGCCTCTGGTGGGACACCCGCTTCCATTTCCTGAGGTGCCTCCAGCCAGGAGCGGAAGTGTGGGAGGAGCAGGCCGTTTGGGGGGACTCCCAGAAAAAGTGAAGGGAAGGAAAGAGAGGGCCGGGAAACAGGGAAGAAGAGGGAGGGGGCGTGGCTGTGAGGTGAGTGTCACCCTGAGCGCAGTCCCTGGCAGCTGTCAGCAGCTCTGCAGGCACAGGGCCCTGGGAGTGGAAGTGCGCCTCCTACAGTTGTGACAGTGGGCGTTGCCACGTCTCCTGCCTTGTGTACCTCAGCAGGGAAATGACTTTATTGTCCTTGCCCCTGGCGTCCTGAGTATCTGACCACAGGAACCCAGTGAAGGCTCTGGTGTGGGGCATCTGGACAGCTCGGAGTTAGTGTGACAAAAACCCATCCTTGTTGCGTTGGGGGTCTGCGGAAAGGAGCAGGGTCAGCCCTTGCTGGCCACCTGTGTGTGACCCTGCACCGCCTCTGTGGGTGGTTTCCTCTGTGGCAGCCTTAGCGCCTGTGCTCATGCCCTCAGGGCCCGTCCCCTCTGCCTCCAGGACCCACTCCGGGGCAGGGAGGAGTCTGATGCCCACTGACTCAGATGAGTCCACAGGGCTGTTATCTGGACCAAGTGCCCGAGCTTCTCAGAATGGCCCTGTGACTGTCACTTCACTCCTGGTTTGCGGCTGGTGACTGCAGAGAAGGATGGTCAGCCTGGCCCTAGCCCACGAGGAAGATGCCCGGGAGACTGTGTCCACGACAATAATCCTGTTTTCTCTTTGCTGCTCTGCAGTCACAGTAACCGGACGGTCAGTGTGACCCAGGACTTCCTGGAGTACCATGTCAATGGCAGAATAGCTTTTGGCCCCGTTTCTGATAACTACGTGTTTATGCCTAAATATCAAGCGAAACCAGCGTGGGAGGCGGTGAGGATGGAGATCGTACGTGGGACTCTCATGACTGAGATCCGGCAGTACTTTTACAGGTGCGCTGGCCTCCGCCTGGGCTGTGCCCGGCACACAGTAGGAGCATGTGGGCAGGTGTTGAGCATCCGTCTTTGCTCAGGCACCCAGCTCTTGGGCCTGTGACTGGCGCAGCTGCTGCCCGATGAGAGTGTGGTGAGGAAATGAATTGCTCCAGTCTGGGCTTTCTGGCTTCGTCTGCGTGCGCTGTGTCACCTCGGTGGCGTCTGAGTTGGCGCTGGGACAGGGCCCCACGGTGCCAGTGACTTACGCGTGAGAGGAGCCCTCAGGCCTGGCCAGAGCCCTGCACCATCAGAGAGCCGGCTCCTCCCGTCCGGCCCCTGAGAAGGCGCCGCTTCTCTGCTGGCTGCAGGAGAGGAACAAGAAGGGGCCGGAGAGGAGGGAAAGGGCATCCAGAGGCTCCCGGAGGCTGCTTACCCATCTGCCTTTTTCGTTTCAGGGTAGTCAGTGACAAGGATCCCAGATACGCCATTTACACCCGCCTGTTCCACGTGCCGCAAGGCTACGACGGGGACACGCTCTGCCACCGCATAGAGCAGCAGTACCAGGTGGGCCCCTTGGAGCAGAACCGCGAGGCCATCCTGAGGATCAGCACTGATCTGCGGAGCCAGCAGGTCCTCTACTCGGACAGCAATGGCTACCAGATGCAGCGCAGGCCCTGGCAGAACTACACCAACAACCGCATCTCTCAGGTACGCCCCATCCCGGGGCTCCCCGCGGGCACGGTGCCGCAGGAGGCAGCCCTGATGGCTGGAGTGGGCCGTGTCCGTGTCAGCGCCAGCGTGTGGCAGCGGAAGCCTCCGGAGAGAACCTGTCAGAGTCCCTGTCCGCGTGCTGTGATTCAGGGATCGCGGCGCAGGCTCGGGTCGGCTTGGTGCCTGAACTCTGGGGCCGCCATGTGCTGAGGAACGTCCCCGAGGGTCCGGCCTGTACCTCAGTTTCCTCTTCTGTAAGACGAGGGGCTCATCGGAGTCGTTTTGAGGATTTGTGGAATGACGTGTGTTGAGGGCTGAGTAGGGCCTGACCCGTGTTCACTGCTCTTAGCCAAGGACCCTGCTGGCTGCTTGGCCAAATGGGGAGCCTGGCCTGATGTCAGGCATCAGGTTCAGCTCCTACGTCCTTGGGCTCCAGGCTGGGTGACCTTGAGCAAGTAACTTAGTTTCCCGACGCCTGTGGCCTCTCCTGGGAAAAGGGGGCAACTCCTCGCCCCAAAGCTGTGAGGGTCAACTGGGAGGATGCAGATGAAGTGGGGTGCTGGACACCTCATATGCTCTCAATATGCCTCTGTTATTTTTCCTTCCATGGGGGCCCATTAGAGGGTCCCCACCCTGCGCTGCCTTCCTTGAGTTTTTGTTCCCCGTCACCTCTGTTTGCTGGTCTTCACCCTCTACGGCTGGCCCCGGATCGTCCAGCCTGTCAGTCCCAGGAAATTCTGCCCCAGGGGAGCCGAGGGCACGGGCTGTGTGGCTACTGCTCCAGCCCACAGGGGCCCTCTTACATCTACGCCCATCGTCCCAGGGCCCCCACGAGGCCCACGTTGCATCACTTGTCCAGGGCAGGTCTCTGCCCCATTTACAGAAGAGGAAACTGAGGCTTGAGTGGGCTCAGTCCCCCAGCTCACATGTGCCGTGCTGGGGAGCCAGATGTGAGTCCCAGTCCATATCCAAAGTCAGAGCCCCTCCCGCATGTCACCTCCAGCTGCCACTGCACCTGAACTGGGGGTTGGCTGGGCGGCCAGAGGGTGATCCCTGACCAGTGGTCTACCGGGCCCTCTGCCTGACTGCCCCCCGGCCACGTCTGTGTCCACAGAATTACTACCCCATGGTTCAGTCGGCCTACATCGAGGACGCCACGAGCAGGCTGGTGCTGCTGTCGGAGCAGCCGCACGGCGTGTCCAGCCAGGGGGAAGGACAGGTGGAGGTAAGAGGCAGCCCCTCGCTGCCCACCACGGGCAGCCCAGGTGCGGGGGCGGGGCGCCCGTCACTCAGCTCTTTCCTACAGGTCATGCTTCACCGGCGGCTGTGGAACGACCTGGATCTGTCCCTGATCCATGATGTCTCACTGAACGACGACTCGGTTGTCTCCCCGGTGTTCTGGCTCCTGCTGGGGCCCCAGTTGCTGACCACTCGCTTGCGCCAGTGGAGTGGGGTAGCCCTGCAGCACAGGCCGGTGGTGGTGTCCAAAGCCCTGACTGGTAAGGGGTGCCCGGAAGGAGCCAGTTGGGCCAGGGAGGATCTGGGGAGGGTGGGTGCCCTCAGGGACCTGGGCTGGGTGGTACAAGCTGTGACTGTAAGGCCGAGTGCTCTCCTGAGGGATTCCTCATGGGGTGTCCGTTGGAGAGGCGTGGTCAGACAGATCCAGAACTCGGGGGAGAGGGCGCGGGGCTGACGGAGGGCCCAGTGGCCTGCGGGATTAGGGTAGGGTGATGCTACAAGCCCAGATGCAATTGTGGATCAGCTCTGAGGGATGTCACTTGAGTTTTCTTGTTTGGCAGTAAAAGAGACTAACGGAGCAGCTGAGGAGGCAGAGCCTGGGGAAGCTCATGGCTGGAGGGGCTCGGTAGGGGCCTGGGCAGGCAGGAAGCAGGGCAGCTCTGGGCATCTTGGGAGCCATCTCTCTCCCAGGACGGCCCAGAGCCCCTGCCTGTCCTCTCCGAGGCCCACGCTGCAGAGTCCAGGAGCAGGATCTGACTGGCTGGCAGGGGGGCTGCTCCTGGGTCAGTCAGTGGTTTGTCCTGGCAAAGGCAGCTTTTCCCACAGAGGGGATGTGCGGGTCTGAGAAAGCTCATGGCTGCCCTCAGTCCATCCATCTGGTCTCACTCTAGTCTCTGTTGGTTGCAAGTGAGAGACATCCAACGTGAACATCTGAGCCACAGAAGAGTGTACTCTGAGGCTCAGTAATCAAGGGAAGGGCAGGGGTATAACTGGTACCCGAGACTGGAACCTTCATGAGGCTGCCCCTCTCCTTCCTCTGTCACCTGGGCTTCTCTATGCTTGTCGACCTCCTTTCTCCGCCACCTGGGACATGGCTGTGAGCAGCTCTGGGGCCACATGTCTTCTCCCCACAAAGGGACTTTGGGTCTCAAATGCAAAAGTCCCAGGGAAAGGTTCTGATTGGCCCTGATGGGATCACATGACCCGAGCCTGGACCAATCACTGTGACCGCTCAAGCTCCAGCTGCAGCTGTGGGGAGATGGTACTCTAATTGCAGCCCAGAGTTGAAAGGAGCATTTCCTGGAAGGAGGAGGGGGCCGAGGTGTCTTCTGAGCAGAGAGACCCATAGGTGACCAGACAAGGGAGGAGCTGGCATCCTGGACTTGAATAGAAAACAGGGCTCTGTGTGAACTCGTCTGATCTGGAACAAACTGACCCCTCTGGGCCTCAGTCCCCCAATCTGTAGTTTGAAATGGGTTAGACTAGAGATTCAGGGTCTGCCCAGCTCTTAGACTGGTCATCTGAGCAGCTGGACATGTGGGAGGAGGGGGATTTGGGGGAAGGACCTGGGGGAACAAAGGCCAGGCTGAGGAGCCTAGACGGGGCTCGGGACCAGGGGTGCAGGCTGCACGTGGAGGGGCTGGGAGATCGGCTATACTGGGGCCACGGTGCGGAGCTCCGAATGCAGGGGTTGTTTGGCCCCAAGCCCCCTCCCTCACTGCGGCTGCCTGCTTTGCAGACGTAAACCTAAATTGGTCAAGCCTCCATCAGCAAGAGGCGGTGACGCTGCCCTCGAGACTTCACCTGCAGATCCTGAGCATCCCCGGCTGGAACTACAGCTCAAACCATACAGAGCACCTGAAGAACGTCAAGACAGGTGAGGCAGAGGAGCCAGACTCCCTCCTCCCTCCCCATGTCAGCTGGGTTCCCGATCGTACCACCAGGGGGTCCTACTCAGAGTTGTCATGGCTCTGTGAGGTCACCTGTTCCCTTTACCTGCCAAATGGGGAGACTGAGGCCCATAGAGAGGCATTGAGTGACCAGGGACAGGTGGGCCTGGACCCCAGCCCAGGACCTGTCCAAACGATTCTCCCATGAACCCCTTCTAAGCCCACCTCCATCTCCAGACCATTGTCCACATCCTGCCCGACCCTGGGGCTACACTCTGGTCCTGCTTCCTCCAGGGACTCCTCCTGGAGCCCCGAACACCTGACTCCCATTGTCCCCTGAGCTCTGGCAGCCCAACTGCCCCAGACTTCCATTCATTCATTAAACAAATGTCTCCTGTGCCGGGGAGTGGGGGATGCTCAGGAACAGGGCGGCAGGGTCTCTGTTCCCTGAACTCTCATTCAAGTGACCAGGCAGTAATGACAGGGATCAGACGGAAGCCCCTTGCTGGGCATCAGGGAGGGCTTCATGGTGGAGGTGAGACCTACCAGGAACCAACTGGTCCTGTTGTCAAAGCTCCAGCTGCACCTTATCTGCCCCTTTGCGCTTGAGCAGCTCAAAGGCAGGCTGACCGCGCTTCAACCACCTGCGGGTCCCCAAAGCTCCATCCAGGACCTGGCACCCCACAAAGTATGAGTCTGTGGAACTAAGAAGAGGAAAAGGACCGGCAACAGGCCAAACAATACCCTTGTTCCCTGAAAAGTGGATACGGGAGACCCTGGCTCATGTCTGCGTCCCAGTGGCTCCCTAACACTGAGCCTCAGCACCTCAGCCCTTACCTGTCACAGAAGACACTGGGCGGGGCCACCTCCCTCTCCGCTGCACACCCTGCCCAGGGGACGCCTGGCCCAGCTGGACTGAGAATTCAACTCCTGTAGGCAGCCGGCTCCCAAACAGGAGAAAGGGGCTGGGCTGAGCAGGCCCCAGATGCACGGTGGGAAAGCATCCTCCCTGGAGACGGTGAGGGGAGCATGGGGAGCGCGTGAGGCCTCTCCGCCCCGACGCCGGAGCCCGCATGAAGCAGCCTCTCATCCTCACCATCCTCACGGTGCCACCGTCACCAGGCCCGAAGCCGCTCACGCGGGGCCCATCCTGAGCCACCGCACCAGGACCATGTGGAAGAACTTTCACTTTTAAATTTTAAACGGGATCAGGCTAGAAACCTGGGAATTGACCTGTGACCTCCTGGTTCATGGGTCGATGCTCAGCCATGGAGCCACTCTGGCCGGGCCGTGTAGAAGAAATTTTACAAACTGCTGCTGCTGCTGTAACAAAGGGCCCCAGACCCTCCCCGTATAGCCAGCAGGCACTCGTCCCTCCCCTCCTGCTGTATGTCCAGTGGGTCAGCTGGAAGGCCCTTCTCACTGTGGTCACGGGAGACCCCCACATAGAGGCTGCAGAGCGCCACCTGATACCTTAGTCGTGGTGACAGGAAAAGCTTCTCTCACAAGTGACATATCACCTCTGCTCCCTTTGCACCGGCCTCAGGGTCACGTGGCCGCAGGTCAGAGAAGGAGAGAATATTCCAGAGGCTGGAAGGTTTGAGGACAGGCCATAACGACCACAACAGTAACCGAGGACTGAGACTCTCCAGAGATCAGAGTCACTGTGTGGCCCTGGGCAAGGGGCTGCCCTTCTCTGAGCCGTGGTTTCCTTGCCCATCGCATGGGGGCTGTGCCAGCTGCCCCCAGGGAGCTCAGGATGTAAAAAAGGGTGAGTGTGTAAGGTAAGGGCACAAGTGGGGGTCCTTAACTGCCACCATCCTTCTGTCCCTAAGGCCATCGAGGGAAGGCCAAGGCTGACCTCCACCGTGTCCTGCTGCGGCTCCACCACCTGTATGAGGTGGGGGAGCACTCGTTCCTGTCTCAGCCAGTGACAGTGAATCTGAAGGTAAATTGCCCCCTCCCATGTCCCACTGCCAGACCTAGATCCGGCCTCTGTGGGTGATGCTGGGCCAGGGAGGCAGATTCCAAGGGTGATAATCCTGACCCAGAAACGACCTTGGCAAAGAGGTATATCAGGGCACTCTCGCAAAGGACCCAGCGGGGTCCCACCCCCGCACCCACCCGGTGCCCTGCCTGACCACCTTCCTGAGAAGGCGGTCGATGCCTCCTTTCCCCCAGTTTGCACTCTGTGGGCTGCGAGCCCCTCACTCATCTCCTGCTCACAGATGTCCTGTGACTCCCTGATCTCGTCTGGGCATCTCTGATGCCTGTGTCCTCAGTGGAATCCCATAGAGCCCAGGGACCCGGTCCAGAGCCTTTCTCCGGGGTGCCTTCCGGATGCCCCTCTCTCACAGCCCCGGCCACCAGAGGGGTCAGGCGTCAGGGGTCAATCTCCTTCCTCGCCCGGCTTTGTCCCCACGGCCCCCTTGGAGGCTGAGAGCAGGCCTGAGCCATGTGTGCCCAGGTGTGCGTGAGTGTGTGCAAGGGTGCAGGGAAGTTGGTCACCCTGTGCTGGCCCCTGGAACAGGCGGGGCTCAGAGGCCCCTAGTGAAGCAGATGGCGGGCGGACCCCACGAGCGGCTTCGTGTGGATGGTGCTGGTCGGGGTGGCCCGAGCGGATCTCAGTCACCAGTGTGCTTGGCTGCCAGTGCCAGCTGCCAGCCAGGAAGGCTTGGAACGGGGCCAGTGTTTTCTCACCAGCCAGTGTTGGGGGTGGGCTGGGCTGTCCACTTCCAGCTGCCCAGTGCTGTCCCCCGGGCTGCAGTCACCTCTGTCCGCCAGGCTGGTCGCCTTTGGTCATAGCTGGGTCAGGCCTCACCGGCAGGTGTAAAGAATGAAGGGGGGATGGTGGCAGCGCCAGGGGCTGGCCCTCCGTGTGCGTGTTCAGTCCATCAGCACAGGGCAGCCCCCAGGACCCTCCTGCCTCCCGGCCAGCAGGTCGGCCCTGCCTGCCCTCTGCACGGGTGGCTGGGTTGAACTCCTTGGCAGAGGGGTGGATAACTGACTGGCTTCCCACGGGGCCGGGCATGGGGCCGCCTGATCCCACTGGGCACGAGGGAGCTCGATGTCGGAGGGGCAGCTCTGAGCACTGCCGCCTCCTGGACACACCCACCCAGCGGGGCACCTGGGAAGCACGGCTATTCCCGGCCTCAGCTTCCTCACCTGTGAAATGGGGCTCCTGTCCCGTGCCAGGAGACTGGCGTGAGAATGAGACGAGGGAGGCGTGTTGGGCCCCGGGTGGTCGCCCTGCTGCTGTGTGTCCTCTGCTCAGCCCTGGGCCCCGGGTGGCTCACCCTCCCTGCCCTCCTTCCTGCAGACCTTGCTCCGGGGGCTGGGCACCGTGGAGGCCGTGGAGGAGCGCTCGCTCACGGGGACCTGGGATGTGAGGAAGCTGCAACGCTGGAAATGGAGGACGGTGGACCAAGGTTTGGGAGCCCCTGGTTCGGGCACTGCCCGTGATTCCTGGCGTTGCCTCTTTTGGGCTGTGTGACCTTGAGCAGGCTGCTGGCCTTCTCTGACTCTGCAGCCCTCCTGACCATCCACAGTAGGTTAGAGAGGCTTCAGGCCAGTTTCTGCCTGTCGGGCTCCCACGCAGGCATGTGCATGTGTGTGCATGTGCATGTGTGTGCATGTGCATGCAGAATACACCCCTGCCCGTGCCACGGCGAGAGCCCCAAACTCGCAGGCATGCCCTGGGGTTCAGAGTCTGCCTTGCTCTGCACACAGACCGATGGCCCCCCCAACCACAGGCTGCCTCGTGCCTCCCGGGCTTTGCTCGTGCCGTTCCCTCTGCCTGGAACGCCCTCGACCCCTTCATTCCGGCCTGTCCCACGCATGCTTCCACCGCGTCCAGGGCGGGCTCAGTGCCTCCTCGGCCGTCCACACCCCGTGGTTCTCCGTCCTGGGCGGCCCCTCTTTGTCCACTGCGTCAGCAGAGTGGGGGCACAGGTGGACATTTAGTCAATGGGGGGGTGAATGGACGGGTAATGCATGGATGGATGGAAGGAAGGAAGGAAGGAAGGAAGGA